TGTGCAATTATGAATTGTTTGGGGTGTGGCTAACTGCAAAAAGAACTTAATCTGTGTACTTATTGAAACATGATAGCCTTGTGTACTGTATTACCATTGCTGGCTGTTACCCTGTGTGGCTTGGGCCATCACACACCCTTAAAATCAGTATACTATAATATGTGTGTGCTGGTGGCAAAATAATGACTGTGGCAAAACTCCTTTAGCAACAGTTGTAAAACTCAAGCCCAGATTTAGTACCCAGTCTTTTAAAAGCCACACACAAAATGGCGTCCGACAGCCTGACTGTTTACATGTCTCTCTCCACTGATCCGTAATAACGCTGCATACAAGAGCACAGTCATCAGTCCTCTCCTGCTCTTTGTTGAACAGGCTCTGGTTAATATGTACAGAGAAAGCGCCATTAAATAAAATTATGGCCAGTAGGTCATTTCACTGCTGCCCGTCTGCATCATGAGACAAAATACACACAAGCATGCAACCTAATTTGGCCTCTGCTTCCAAGGCTGCTACAGTAATGAAAAGACAATGTATGAGGCCCAACGCTGCGGGACTGAGCTGAGTATGATGCAGTGAAAGGTTGTGTGTACCTACTAATCTAGGATATGGAATTCACACACACTCACACAACTAACAGTTTGGCTCAGTTACAACCGACTGACACTATATTTTTTTAAAGGAGGAGGATCTATTGTTAGAAATGGAATATAATGTTCATAGGTTTGTTTTTGTTTGTGTATAATCACTTGAATATGTGAATCGGTGTGTTTTCGTTACCTTAGAAGGAGCCAGTTTTATCTACTCCTTCCGTGGAGTCCGCCATGTTTCTACAGTAGCCCAGAATGGACAAAGCAAACACTAGCTCTGGACGGCAATCTTTGTCCAAATATAGCGGTATACATGTATTACATATTAGTTAGAGAGGACATTAGCCAGAAATAGAGGAAAAACAGAGCGGCAGTCTGCCACATTTCAAGTCACGTACTGTCTAATACTACTGTACCTAGACCTCACAGACCAGTTATATTAGTAAAAACTGTGGGGACATTGACTAAATCATCAACATTTTCCAGATTCCAAGCGAACGGTAATGTATGTAGTTAGAACAAAGCTGTGAAATTGGCCCTTGTATTGGTACATCTGCACAGTAAGCTCATTTTGCACGTCCAAATGGCAGCAATCAGTGACTGTTGGAAAACATGATCTTCAGCACGTAGAAAGTTACGTAAGGTCAGGCCAACAGACTTCCCTCAGTGTATTTATATTGCCCAGCTTTACGTGTTAAAAGCAAACTATTTAATGTTGCTCAGTCCAGCTTCCTTGTAATGAGAGATTGCATTCCTGTACTTTCTGTATGGAGCACTTCAGCTATGTGATGTCTAAACAGATTTATATCTCTTTGAGGGACATAGGACATTGCAGCAGAGTTTAAGGTTCATGAGGTCAACGGGTTAGGAACAAGAAATGTTTGTCATTTGGGACATAAGGTTGAAAGTGCTTTGTCAGGAGATTGTGTTAAAATGAATGATTTTGTCACATGGTTTCTAAAGTACAATAATGGCTTGCTCATTGAGGAAGACATGGCCAAATCAAGCATGATCCTGAGAGGGTTGAAAACAGAACTGTGTTGCTGTACATTCAGTTTCAGCTCATTTGTGTTAAGCCTTGTGGAAAACCCCAATATGATTTCATTTGTTGCTGTATTTACTTCCAACCTGCCTTCCTAGTCTTTCTAGTTACAGTTGTTTCTATAAAGTAACTCAATCTCTATTCCCATCCACTTTGATGATGGCATGTTACGTGTTTTTAGATTGAGCAATAACAGTAACTAATAAGTGCATTTTGCCAGTTCATTTGTATCACATTTTAAAACAGCAGCTTCCATATGGATCCACTCATTGAATGTACAGTGCAGACGTAATAGAGATAACTAAATTAAATTTGTAGTCTGGGATGCGAACAGGAAAAAATACAAAGTTGTGTACATAGTGTAATAAGTTGGCTGTTATGTACACAGCTGTAACAGGTTGCAGTTGCCATGATGCATTTACACACTTCATACTGGCATTCTACAGGAAAGACACACACTAAAAAGTCATCTATATCAGCGCAGAGGAGACAGTGGCTGCGAAATGCCTGTAAGAGCTGTTCTGATTGGGTAATTGGTTGGCAGGCAGTAAAGCTTTAGGTTATCTAGTAGGTGTCATGACAACATACATGAATGACAATAAAAAGTAGACCCTGTATTGGGTCGAAGGAAAGATAAATCCTCCCCATTCAGCCATTTTGGTGTGGTGTTCAAATATTTGACCACATAGCTGTAATAACATTTGTAGTAGCATTAATGATGTTTCAAGCTGACATCTTTGATCTAGTATGCACAATTGTCCTCAGTATGAGAACAAACACACACATGCTAATAGTCCTGGGTTCCCAAGGGAGTATATTTTAACGTGTATTCCAGGGAAATACAAGGCTTTAAATCAGTGGTGAGCAGTAGACTCCAAAACATTTCTTGATCCTTAGTACAGTAGTGAGTGACTTAAAGGTCCAGTGTCAGTGACATTTAGGAGGATATATTGGCAGAAATGGAATGATGAATGGACAAATCAAACAGCCCTCTAGATAGGGCTTTGGAAGGGGAGGGTGAAGTGAGGGAGTTGCAATCTGCAACTAAACCACTAGATGACACTAAATCCTACACACTGGTCCTTAAACTTTGTTTCCTGAAGGTCAGACTTTTCATGTCTCGTTCTCTAGCTCAGTCTCTCTTTCTGCTCTTTATAGCAAACAGGGAAATCTCTCACTCACATTGTCTGATTGTCTGAATAAGCCTACTCCCACACAAA